TGGGCAGGAGCAGCGCCAAATCGAACTTACCTGGCACCCCTTGTACAGTACCATACGCCTACAGCCATTACAAGGGGGTTGTATGGACATCCTGTTCCGGGGAGGGTTGTCATAACCAAAAATTTTCTGCGACGCAATGCTTCATCTTGTTTCACTTTGTACACCCCTCATCTCTGAGACGGAGTAGGCGTGGCATTTGAGCATGGCATAGGATGGATTGTCAATTGTCCATTAATTTGTCAAAAAAACGTTAAAATGTCTAAAAGGGACCGTGGCCAAGGGGCGGAGCATAAATTAAATACTCGGATAATCGCCTCATATGTGTAGATTATATATGTGGAAAGATCATTAAAATTCGGATGTGGGGAATAAAATTATAAAGTGGCGAAATTTTCAGTAAAGCCATAATAAGTGGGCGGTGTCGATCCACGTGATATAAATGGTACCGCAATGAAAATATCCCACGAAAACATTGGCCGCGCCAAGTTCAATTCAAGCTCGCAGCAGCGCCTACCGTAACTCAGGGATTTTGAGTGTACGTTCTTCTTTACAGTGAACAGATCCCTCCAAGGAAGAAGATTCTTCGATGGAAACAACTTCCAGACTACTGTGAGAAGGTCGGCTACATGTCTTCAGTATAAAAAAGCTATTTCTTCATAGAAAGTTATAATATGTTGCGTTGGAGAATGGCCGAATACTAACAACGCACGAAGAAGAGCTGCTGTATTATTTATCAAAGGTACAGATCCAGTAGGCGATCTTCAATTCGTTCCATTTCATCTTGGTAGTACAATGATGCCTTGTACTTCGCCAATGGTCTGGTTGACCCGAGACACCGAAGAAGTGCAGTCGAGACCGACATACCCGGGTTGATAGCTGAAAAATAATTTTCAGACTGAAACAAATATATAAATAATGATTCATTGATGATCGTGTATTTAAATTGTAGTAGACTAAATAAGGAATAGCCAACAAATTGCCGAGCAGGATGTGTAGGCTTACGAGCGAAAGAGCTCCCTTCATAACTTGAACGCATAAGACCCGACAAATTGGTACTCGTTCAAAATTAGTAACAGGGCTTCTATGTAGAGGGAAAATGACGGAAAAACGAAAGCAAAGAACCAAAAAAACTGCAGGAAAAAGCATTTTTTTCTGCACGGCATTGGACGAGCATGTTCAGACGAGTTTCCCGTGGCGTGCCCCAACAACCGCTCCGATAGATACGGCTGCACATATATCCTAGTTCGCTGCGGGGGTGTCAGACAGTATGAGTGTGCCACGGCGACAAACCTTTTCTCTGCCACTTGTTGAAGCAGGTATGCGACAACAACTGGTAGAAAACGAGTGATACGAACGATATGATACAGTCTGTCACTTGCTCGCTTCAACAACTGGTGAAGAACGGGTTTGGCACTGCGCCAAACTCATTCCGCCTGACACGCCCCTTTGTCCGCAGCGAATCAGAGCATACGTATTCATAATTCCATGTAACAACACTTCATATCGCTTGGTCTTCATAAATGAAGCGATAGGGGTATAAGCGTCGATGTGACTGTGCGACCGCTTGTGGGTAGACAGTTGCGATGGGCGTCTGGTTCTACATGTAATCTCTGTTAGGCGCTATAACAGCTCCCTTGGTTGGAAAAGGCGGCACTCAGCTCCTCTGAGGGGCAAAATATTCTTTCGTGCTAAGCATATCGACCCCGCACCCCTTGTCGATTTATCGTGCCACTTGCATTTGAATTAGGACTGGGCATATCTGACACGAAGACTTACCTCACCTACGCGCTCCCTGCCATGACGCTCAGTGCTGGTTTGACTCCGCTTGTGCTGTCCTCAAGGCGCAGCACTTACGTCGATGAAATCCTGTTGTGAACATACAAAGGAAGAAACAAGCAGACGTAAGGGGGCGCAGACAAGTCGTGATTTTGGCTAGGGGTCCGGTCCGCGTGTT